TAATAAAGGAAGCGTAGAGGATAGAGTAAAACAAAACACCGGTCACAAATTAGAAGTCTAAAACGAGAATTTTTAAATCGGGGGATTTCGGTATAAAAGAAATCAGGAGCTTGAAAAAAACAGGAACTGTGAAAGGCATCTAAGGCCCCGTCCACACTAATGCGTTTTCGTTTAAAAACGGAGACCTTTTGCTACGTTTGCACCTCCCGTCCACACTAAAACGGCAAAAACGGAGACCCAAAACGGAGAAGTTTAGAAACGCTGCCGACCCGTTTTTCGTTTTGAATCTCCGGAGGGCGTTTTAGTGTAGACGGGACAAAACGGAGAACTTTAGAAACGATGACGTAGTAGAGGCTCACGCTCGGCTCTATGATTGGGTGTCATCAGTCATGGCGTATAGCTTTGCTAGCCGCTGTTGTACAAGTAAATTCTGCATTTTACAGCGCTATAACTGCCTACATGCGCCGGAGTCAAGCTATTATTCCAGCGATCTGTGACAATTCCCGTGTGCAGCGGCGGCGTTGACCGTACATGGAGCGTCGGTTTGGGGTTAACCCAGAGCATGGTGGGATAATTTTATCAATGAAGTTGTGTTTACACCGGCGCGCGCATGCCCAGTGTTGGTGAAAGGTCACGTGATCCGCGTTTTCAGTCGTTTTAATGTGGACGGAGATCAATTCTAATACGCAGCTAAAACGCTGGTGTGGACGGAGATCGTATTCGTTTTAATTATCCGTTTCTAAACTAAAACGCAGTAGTGTGGATGGGGCCTAAGCTTACACTACTCCTACATTCTATGTCATGCGTCGGGTCAGAGGTCACTTTTCCGCCATTACCAGAAGCCAGTGATTATACACTCACCTAAAGGATTATTAGGAACACCTGTTCAATTTCTCATTAATGCAATTATCTAATCAACCAATCACATGGCAGTTGCTTCAATGCATTTAGGGGTGTGGTCCTGGTCAAGACAATCTCCTGAACTCCAAACTGAATGTCAGAATGGGAAAGAAAGGTGATTTAAGCAATTTTGAGCGTGGCATGGTTGTTGGTGCCAGACGGGCCGGTCTGAGTATTTCACAATCTGCTCAGTTACTGGGATTTTCACACACAACCATTTCTAGGGTTTACAAAGAATGGTGTGAAAAGGGAAAAACATCCAGTATGCGGCAGTCCTGTGGGCGAAAATGCCTAGTTGATGCTAGAGGTCAGAGGAGAATGGGCCGACTGATTCAAGCTGATAGAAGAGCAACTTTGACTGAAATAACCACTCGTTACAACCGAGGTATGCAGCAAAGCATTTGTGAAGCCACAACATAATAATAATAATAATAATAACTTTAATTTGGTATAGCGCTTTTAAAAGTTAATTCTCAGAGCGCTTAACATAGACAATAGATAAAATAAGCATGACATACAAACTATTACAGTACATGCATACAAACAATGTTATAAATCTAAAAAAAATTAAAATCAATAAACAAAACATAAGTTAAACAAAACCATAAAATATATTACATGGAGAACCACAACAATCATGTTTCACCCGAAAGCTTCTTTAAAATAATAAGTTTTAAGGGATGACTTAAACAATTTCAGAGATGGAGCACTTCGAATTTGTGAGGGCAGTGAATTCCATACCTTTGGGGCAACCGAAGAAAACGCCCTGTCACCCATAGTTTTCAGGCGCGTTACCGGAACAACTAAAAGACCAGCATCGGCTGAGCGAAGATTACGTGTCGGAACGTAGGGTACTAAAAGATCAGAAAGATATTGCGGAGCAAGTCCATTTAACGCCTTGTAGGTCAACATAAGAATTTTAAAATCAACACGAAATTTAACAGGCAGCCAATGCAATGTCTCTAAAACAGGATTTATATGGTCTCTTTTTCTGGTCCTGGTCAGAATACGTGCAGCAGAATTTTGTAACCACTGAAGTCTGTGCAGAATAGATTTCGATGCTCCCGCCAACAAGGCATTACAATAATCAATCCTTGAAAAAACCAGAGTATTAATTAATTTTTCTGCTACAGAGAAGGGCAGCATGGGTCGCAATTTAGATATATTTCTAAGGTGAAAAAATGAGACTTTAACAGTATTACGTACATACAGGTCAAATGTTAAATTAGAATCAAAAATGACTCCCCAAGTTTTTTAATTTAGATTTGAACTGTATATCAGAGCCGTCCACATTTAAAGCTACAGATTTCACACTACGTAACTGGTGAGACGAACCAATAAGCATCACTTCAGTTTTATCGCTATTTAGACATAGATAATTAACAGACATCCAATTTTTTATTTCTGCAATACAGTTAGAAAGGTGAGTAACAGCGACATTAACATCAGGCTTTGAGTGAATGTATATCTGGGTGTCATCACCATATAAATGAAAATCGAGATCAAGAGACCTCAAAAGTTGGCCAAGTGGAAAAATATATAGACTAAAAAGTAAAGGACCTAAAATTGAACCCTGAGGTACACCATATTTTACCATACTATCCTCCGATCTACAACCACCCAGCACAACAAATTGTTTGCGATCTGAGAGATAAGACCTAAACCAGCTCAGAGCAGAGTCAGATACACCAAAGACAGACTCCAGGCGGGAAAGTAAAATACAGTGATCAATAGTGTCGAAAGCAGAGCTAACATGCACAACCTTGAGGCGGATGGGCTACAACAGCAGAAGACCCCACCGGGTACCACTCATCTCCACTACAAATAGGAAAAAGAGGCTACAATTTGCAAGAGCTCACCAAAATTGGACAGTTGAAGACTGGAAAAATGTTGCCTGGTCTGATCAGTCTCGATTTCTTTTGAGACATTCAGATGGTAGAGTCAGAATTTGGCGTAAACAGAATGAGAACATGGATCCATCATGCCTTGTTACCACTGTGCAGGCTGGTGGTGGTGTAATGGTGTGGGGGATGTTTTCTTGGCACACTTTAGGCCCCTTAGTGCCAATTGGGCATCGTTTAAATGCCACGGCCTACCTGAGCATTGTTTCTGACCATGTCCATCCCTTTATGGCCACCATGTACCCATCCTCTGATGGCTACTTCCAGCAGGATAATGCACCATGTCACAAAGCTCGAATCATTTCAAATTGGTTTCTTGAACATGACAATGAGTTCACTGTACTAAAATGGCCCCCACAGTCACCAGATCCCAACCCAATAGAGCACCTTTGGGATGTGGTGGAACGCGAGCTTCGTGCCCTGGATGTGCATCCCACAAATCTCCATCAACTGCACGATGCTATCCTATCAATATGGGCCAACATTTCTAAAGAATGCTTTCAGCACCTTGTTGAATCAATGCTACGTAGAATTAAGGCAGTTCTGAAGGCGAAAGGGGGTCAAACACAGTATTAGAATGGTGTTCCTAATAATCCTTTAGGTGAGTGTAGTTTATAAAGTTATAAATATTGATATTTTTCTCACAAACACATCGCTCCGCTTCAGAAGGCCTTTATTAACACCCTGGAGCCGTAGGGATTACCTTTATGGTGCATGGATGCACTTTTTGGGGCTTCAAAATCTAAGGTACCATTCACTCCCATTATAAAGCCCTTGGAATAGCCAGGATATTTTTTATTATAACTCCATTTGTGTTTGGCTGAAAAAAAGGAAGTCATGTACACTTAGGATGGCTTGAGGGTGAGTCAATTATGGGATCATTTTAATTTTTGGGTGAACTAACCCTTTTGGATAGTTACTCTCATTAGTTATGAACCTTTATATAGTAGTTCTTAGTAGTCTTCTGGGAGGTATGAAAAATGGTAGTTTACTGATTAGCTAATAGTGAACTAACTCATTCAACTGAGCGCTATTATTCACTTATTAATTAATTAGAGTTTCTTGTTGGTTAATAGTAGTTACTAGTGTTAATATTGTGTTACTCATTTGTTCCTGTGTTATTCATTAATGTCAGAACAGTAGTCTAAAGTGTTACCTATAAAAATCATAAGGGTGAGTAAATGATCACGATTGTCTTTTTTTAACTATTCCTTTAACATTGACATTTTTTTATAAGGAGCAGACTTGGTTGAATGAGGGGGTGTGTTCTGTTTTTCTGTGATATTAGGAGAGGGTAATCTCTTCTGCCCTTTTCACCTGCTTTTGCACTGTGCAAACCTGAGCAAAAAAAAAGTTCTCAAATACTTGTTTACTGGCAGGCCGATGATTCTGCAGGTATACTGCAGACATTATGAAAGTTGAGCAAATTTGGGGTGAATGACAAGGCGCTATTGCTGGTACTGCACTGTGAAACGTCTGAGAGATGAATGCCAATGAGTGTTATGTCAGGTGTACAGGCTGGAGCCAAATCTTTGCTTTCATGGAAATGGGCCAAATAGCACAGAGAGAAAAAACCTTCCTGAAATGACAGAGATAATAATTCAAGAGAGCATTTATTTAATAGCAATTCCCAATGTGATTAATTATCAGCTGGTTTGGGGTGGAGGCAGTATGATTTATTTTTATAAAGATATAATTTTGTCGGAAATCACTCCATTTTTCAGGCAACGTATTTCATATTTTTAATGGAACCAGATATTCTGGATATTTTTATAATCTGGATCATTGTTACAATGACTATTGTTGGGTTTGGTGTAGTTTACAGTTTAGTTGTAATTTTAGTCAGAGGATAATTTGTTTCTCTCCAATCTTTTGTATGTAGTACTTTTATTAATATTTCTTAAAGAAAAATATTGTGATCTCACTTTTAAAAGGTGACTTGACTCTCTGAGGTAAACATAAAAAGAAATACATCCAAATTCACAAGTAATGTTATATCATATCATCTTTGATACATACAGCAGATTTCTGAAAGATTTTTTTTTTTAAATAGTGACTAGCAAAGATTACTGCTATGATGCGTCAGTATAAAAAAGAGCATCAATGTTTGCCTGTGAGAACAAATTAAACTGAGAACATTTAGGCTTGAAAGAGATTTTTAATAGACATTTCAAACTGTTTAAATGTTGTCTTTTCTAGGAAGCTGGCAAGTACAGGAAAGGAACTCAAAGATAACTTCCTGAGAGCCCTGGCGGAGCGGGAGGAGGCTAACCGCAGTGGGAAAATGACTGTGAGTACATTATTACAGCACTCCATTTGCTACGTAATGGGATTCCCCCAGCATATTTCTGCAATTCCATTAGGACGGGAACACAATCCACACTGTGTCAAATTCAGGAGGAGAACCCCCCTTCTCTCTCACACCTTGCCATATTGCCACCTCAGCCTTCTTTCTCAGAGAGGACAGACCATGCACAGACCATTCAACATGTGTGTATATGCTGTGTTTGTAGACTGCAGAGCTCCACATAATAATCTACACTATGTGTAATAACAAAACATGCGTTTATCTTGAGCTTCTATCATTACACATTAACTATTTTACAGCAAATTTGGGGAGACTTTTGGAGATGCTGGTGAAAGTTTTGAAGTTCAGCACCTTTGGACTTGCCAGCAGTTCCTGTGCATTTGGGTTCTGATCAATATGTATTTTCTGGTGTGGGGAAACGGGTTTAGATGATCTTGAAGAGATGGTTTTCATATTCCATAATATCAGGCAAAATCAGATAACTTTCTAGCATATAGAAAATCTAGTGTTCTGCTGTACTACAAATGTCATTCGCCTTATTCACCTGGCGGCCATTTTGAAAACGCAAATGCATTGAGGGGTACACAAACCCGGAAGTTTGACTCCGACGCAGCAGCACCAGCAATGGAAACTCCAGTGTGGACCACCAATCTTTCCTGTCTGCCCGAATTAACGATGCAAAATGTGAAGCAGCGAGCCAGTACTGACTGCAACATCCCCCGGGCTGTGTTAATTAAGGGATACAGTAACTGGATCGAAGGTTTTATCCACGACATTGAACGTATGAATGGATGCCGATTTACCTCCGTTTCTACTAGCCTGTAGCAGCTAGGGGTAGTAAGCTTAGCTGTGATATGGAGTTGTTGACTGTGTACTATGTTAGATTAGATCTATACAAATCCTTAACCATCGTTATTGTTCTTCTTTATGAATCTATACAAATCCTTAACCATCATTATTGTTGTTCTTTATGAATCTATACAAATATGTGAACTTGTATTGTTACCATAGCGCCTTAACATGGTCAGTGTGTAACAGGATCAGTCCCTGTCAGACCATATAATCACTTCTCATGCTCTTTACTTTTACATACCTGTGAGTGATTTGATTGTTTTACGTGTGTAAGCTACTGGATGTGTATCCATCTGTGTATCTATCTAAAGAATAAAGTACAATTGTATTACACATGGATGATGTCCTTTATAACTTTATAATTTAATATACCGGAACCAGAACAGGTTGGAATATCAGAAAACATAAAAAAAACATTGATAGGCACACTGGTCTAGGTTTGTAAAGGTAACTTTGTACATAGAAGTTGATATGGGGGAATAATGTAAAATGGCCTGCCTGTATACTGTAAGCATGGAAAAGGAACCAGAACATCAGAAAACAGGCCGTTCAAAAAACAATGATAGGCACAATAGTCTAGGTTTGTAAAGGTAACCATGTACATAGAAGTATGGAAAAGGAACCGGAACAGGTCAGAACATTAGAAATTACTTTAGGAACAAACCATTTAAAAACATTAACAAAAGAGAACTATATACATAAACAGATTATCAGTGATGTCTTGCTCGTTGTTGGGGGGACAGATGTGTAGCCCATCTTGGCAAAGTGAGCGAGAGTGTAGAGCAGCCCGATGAGATGGTTGCACTGTCCCAAGCCAGCTTTTCAGTTGCACTGCGTCTCCCTTATAAATGGCTGCTCAAGTGACAGCTCCACCTGAAAAGATAATCAAACTTTATACACTTGACACTTCAGAGTTGCTATTAACAAATATATGGCATATATATATATATATATGTGTGTGTGTGTGTATATAAAAATATAAATATATGTATATGTGTGTGTGTATATATATATATATATATATATATATATATATATATATATATATACATATACATACATACACACACACACTGAGTGTGCAGTGAATTAGGTACATCTGGCATTTAAATGATCTGCCATGAAAATATATTACAGCTACATGCTGGTAGTGGTAGGTTGTTTACAGCTGTGATACCTGATAGTTATACTGTCATTACACTATCATTGTCAACAAGCAATAGCAACATGCACCTAGCCCTGTCTGGCTTTGCTAATTTGAAACAAGATAATATTTGAGTAGATATCAATGAGGCTTATGTGATATTACATCAACTACAGATAACATGTTAATGAGATAAAATCAACATGTTATTTTCAGTCAGACAGGGAAAGGTAAATTTTTTCGCACCGAGGGAAAAGACCTAGCCCTCACAAATATGTGTGATGGGCTCCTATTAACTGTCGATTAAAGACATGTTAAGTGTTAAATAAAATCTAACATAGTACACAGTCAACAACTCCATATCACGGCTAAGCTTACTACCCCTAGCTGCTACAGGCTAGTAGAAACGGAGGTAAATCGGCGTCCATTCATACCTTCAATGTCGTGGATAAAACCTTTGATCCAGTTACTGTATCCCTTAATTAACACAGCCCGGGGGATGTTGCAGTCAGTACTGGCTCACTGCTCCACATTTTGCATCGTTAATTCGGGCAGACAGAAAAGATTGGTGGTCCACACTGGAGTTTCCATTGCTGGTGCTGCTGCGTCGGAGTCAAACTTCCGGGTTTGTGTACCCCTCAACGCGTTCGCGTTTTCAAAGTGGCCGCCGGGTGAATAAGGCGAATAGTATATTAAAGAACAACATAATAAGTTTGTGAGCACAGGTCAGATGCTTTGGTAGGATGCATTGATTTAAACATTTGGGTCTTGAGGTTTGATTTATGACTTGTTCAATTTATTATTATTATTTTATTTGATTAGTCAATCATTACATTTGTTTAATACCGTAAAACTTCAAATAATAGCCGAGTCCCAAATAGACGCCTGTCTCTATTACACGCCTGGTGTGGCTACAGGTTTGGATAAATAAAGGCCGGTCTCAAATAGAGGCCTGGTCTGTTTTTTAGTTTCGGGTTGTGTTTAAGCCAGTTCTATGGTGCAGATTGCGCACACAAGAGAGCCCTGCGCATCTGGGCAGAGCTAGCGCAAGAAAGGCAGGCAGAGTTAGTGGTGGCCGGAGAGGGAGAAGTGGAGGAGAGCGACGAGGAGGAGGAATTCGCCAATTAACTTGTAGTTGAGAATCGCGGTGATGATGATAGTGGTCATTTTGTATCACATAATTGCAGTTGTGTTACAGGGTAGCAATAGGTCTGGGGACGTAACACTTCATTCTTTCTAGTTGATGTGTAACTTGTATTGATCAGCCCATGGCTGTCACATCGTTTCGTTTTGTATGTTGCCAATAATCTAAAGGGGGTCGCACACCGGACGAGAAGCACAGCGTCGCGCCGCGTCCATGACAACTCGAGATATTATGATATTCTCAATTCATTCAGTTAACGGACGCTCTGAGATAAAGTGAATTCAGACTGCAGACTAAGCAACGATTGTATTTAATTGTACTGTTCAATCATAACATCGTACAGACATTATTTTAATTCCATAATGTCCTTAAACATAACAATATTGCTGGCCATAAACTGAGAAAGTGCATGTCCGGTGTGCGATACCTCGAGTTGTCCTAGACGCGACGCGGCGCAGCGCATCTCGTCCGGTGTGCAACCCCTTTTAGACATACGGTAATATAGTAAGGTAATTCTTACATTAACTGATTTGTTAAACACATTTGAATTATAAATATAACATAATATAATGTGGTAGCCTCCTACTGTCATGCTTTCCGTCTATCAGCCTATGCTATTTGGATCGTTATCTCTAGGCCTACACTCAATGAACAACATCTCAACACTAAATGAAAGGCCTGTCTATAGACGCCTGTCTCAAACACAAGCCGGTGCAGTTTGGCGATTTGGGAAAATAAAAGCCTGTATACGGTTGTTATAAATAGGATAAATACAATAATTACCCCCATAAAACCAGTTTACTGTGGTAGTTTTTATTGTTACAGGTCGAAAGTTTACTTTGTTTCCAGTTATTGTTTATTTTTAAGGATTCTTCTCACTCATCCAAGCAGCTTCATTGCATACAATTAAACAATAACAGTCCAGTTGTTTTTGACTGACTTGAAATTAATGAAATGCTCCGGCTGTATTGATAAAACCTGTAAGACCTGTTACAATTTAAAATAAAAAACTGACGGTCCATGTACTGCAAGTTATGCCCATAGTAACAGTTTGGGCATAGCTTGCAAAATGAGGAACAGACATTTCTGTATAAAAATGTACAGAATTATTGCAGGTTGATTTTTCTGACTTCCTGGGTCATAGTTAAAAAATGTTGCAGTATATGTAATGCACCTACAGTTTAACTGATTAAAAACGTCTTGGTTACTGATGTAACCCTCGTTCCCTATTGGAGGGAACAGAGACGTTATGTCGAAGACTGACAAATGGGGTCCCAATGAAAAGCGCCACAGCCTCTGAACTGTTACGAGTGTTGGAGGCGCAGATGCTGGCAAGCTGTAGCGTGCCCTTTTGGCAACTGCCCTCATACAGTCGTAACCTACCCATTGCCCCACGTAATCCCAAAAAATGAAAAAATCCTCCTTGCCAATGGAATGGAAGGGACAAGGTCTCCATGTCTTACCATGGAGACTGTCGTAGCTACTGTTTATTTTGTATGTTACTTGACAGGAAGAGTGCTTCAGTTCTCTATTCCCTTTTTTCAGTCATGACCAGTGTGGTTAACGCTGGGGAAGCGTACTAGTCCATGAGCCAGGGGGGTTGATCGGTTGATCGGTTGATCGGGGGATTTTTTGGCAAGGTTTACACCCCTAGTATTAGAAAAATCACAATAGCAGTGCAGGGGTGGTAGCGAAATCCCTTTTTTTCAGCTCATGAAGTTACTAACCCCCAAAAATAAATTCTGTTTTTGAAATCTGGTGTATATCTGGTTTAGGCTAATGCTAGGGATATTGTCAATATTCTATAATATGGTGCTTGGTATCGTTGGAAAGGGGACGTTT